ACCAGATGGATTTTCTCTTGGAGAACACCTAAGTAAGGGATGAAATGTCTGTCTGAACGAGGAAATTAAGTAACGGCATTGGAAGCAGGTTCATTTCATTACCTTGCTCTGCCTGAAGAAAGCGCCTCAGACAACTATCCTCTTTGCATCACCCAAATGGTGAACACTTTTGGTGAACACTTCCATTTGAAAAACAAAAAATAGTTGTAGGAGAAATACCTTGAAAAAAGTATTTTTGTTTTCAAGCTTTTTTTCCAGATTTTTCTCATGGATATATTTGGCTATGCACCCAGTGATGTGCCAAAAAGCGAAAAATAGGGCAAACAGTTGGAATTGATGCAGAAACAAATATGATGGATGGATTGCCACCAAATTAGAGGTATAGGGAATGTTTATATAGAGCAATAGATGGCCCAAATATCACAACAAGTGAAGCACAGGAAGTGGAGATATGCAATAGGGTTCCAATAGGGGTGAAAGTGCCAAAAATGCGAACTTCACAGAGGATGATGGAGTGGATGGATTTCCCCCAAATTGAGGGTGTAGAGTGCAATAGTATAGGGTAGTACATGGCTCAAATAGGGCCAAGATCCAAGCACAGGATGTGGAAATATGGAATAGGGGGCCAAAAGGTGATCAAATGATGATGGAGGCTCACAGAAAGATCCAGCTCAAATCCAACCACTTTGGCAGGGGTCCTAGAGTTATTTAGGCCGTAGAAGATGATGGTAGAAATTTGAGGACAATCAGATAAGGATTGGAGGAGATATGTGTTAGAATATACTCTGACATACCAATACTCCATAGGATAATACCTCTGATTTGTAAGCCAGCCCAGTATGCAGCAGCTATACTGTGTAAGACATCTGTGGTTGCATGTCATGTTTAAGATCCTACATTGTATAACCTTGGCCATATAGCTCAATTGGTAGAGCAGCTGGCATGTATCCAGAAGGTTCCAGGTTCAATCCCTGGTCTGGTCAATATCCAATTTTATCACATTTGGGGATCATGTTTCCACACTGAGTTACTGTAGCAGACAAGATGTTTTAAGTTAATTGGCATTGATAAGCAGACATGCAATTATTAAGAAAAAAGCTTGAGGGAAGTGTCTAACCACTTGCTGAGAGCTATCAGGGACTGGAACTAGAGTCCAATGTGAGTAACTTTATTATTAAAGAGTATGACAGGTATACAGTACCTAGAGTCTAATGTGAGTAACTAGAGAATAGGAAGCATTGGACTCTGCAGTACTGTCCGAAGTTTTGTAACAAAGGTAAATAAAGCAGCCACAAAGGCAAAATAGTAGAGAATACAATTATACCACATGATACACGAAAAAATAGAGAAAGAAATAAAAAGATTAATGTAGCACAGAGGTGCACAATCACCAAAATTAACAGAACTCTGTTGTTGTAGTATTCTCAATTATCTTTAAAAGTACTTGCTGCAACTTGTGTCAACTTACCTCATATTCCGATGTGAGAGGGGGGGCTCTTCTGTTTGATCTGAGACTTCCAAGCTATTTACACATGTTAATTTAGTATACTAGTATACTAATTTATGTATTTACTCGCTCATTTAATTCTTGTTGTAACTATTGGTTGATGTCAATTTAGTGTTCAGAATCACTAATCATAAAACTAGGCTAGGTTGGCTACTACTGTTTGATTCCTGTGGTGCTGCGTAAAACGGCCTTGTGGTACAAGCTGAGGAAAATCAAGTTATTCTACAGGGAACAAAGGTCAAAGCAAAAAAAAATGCTTTATGGGCTTCCAGGACGCTGACATCATGGTGACTCTATGTCAGCTTGACAAAGCTTATCTGAGCATGTTTCAGGCTTCACGGACACCCATGTGGCACTGTCATCACTTGTTAAAGCAGTCAAAGTGGTTATTGCCTTAAAATATCTTGTATTATGGTCCATCGGTGTTTGCTCTTCTGTCTGTTGGTCTTTGTGCGATGAATGCAAATTATATTGTGGCATTGTGCTTAAGTATTTCATACAGAAACAGTGGGATTGTCAGTTGCGCATATACTCCCACAAGTGTCAGGCATACACCAGTGTACAGCTTGGTTTGGAAATGACATACTACAGTAGTAAACCTCCTGAACGCCTCACCTGTCTTTGCCTGGGTGGCAGCACCACAAGGCAAAGATTATGTGCTTAGGACACTGTTAGTTTTGGTTATTCTGCACCTTTGTGCTACCTACATATTTTTATTCCTTTCTCTATCTATTTCTCTATCATTCAGTATTGATTGTGTTCTCTATTATTTTGCCTTTGTGGCTCCTTTGTTTACCTTTGTTTACAAAACTTCGGACAGTACTGCAGAGTCCAATGCTTCCTATTCTCTAGTTACTCACATTGGACTCTAGGTACTATATACCTGTTATACCCTCTAATAATATAGTTATTCACATTGGACTCTAGTTCCAGTTCCTGATAGCTCTCAGCAAGTAGTTAGACACTTCCCTTAAGCTTTGTTCTTAACAACATAATGGATGTTCACAAAAGCAATACATACAACAACACCAGCTGATAAAGTGTACAATGTGAATAAAAACAAAAGTTGTATAAACCTTTGCAGTTTATACACAAATACAGGGGGATTGGGATCTTCACTAGATGATCATCCTTTGATTGTGTTTCCATTTCCAAGTCATCTTGCTCCTTGCAGCTGATAAACATTGCGGAGCCTTCTTTGCTACTAGATGACTCTGAGGAACAAGATGGAATGAAGTTGTTAGACCCATCTTTGCTACCATCAGTTGCCTGATTGTCAACATCCATGGACTCTATCAGTGCTTCTATTGGTCTCCTACAATCAAGCCAGAGTCCCATCACTTTGTCAGAACTTACTTGGTGATCGTCCCTGCTATGCTCATCAAGACTGGACCCCTCGGAGTCGCCACCTTCATAGCTGTGATCAGATCCCGGGTTGTCAACTAAATTATCAATATTGCAGAGCTGTCATTTAAGCATGTTCAAGTTCAGATATCTCTGAAGCAATAATGACTCAAAAGTGGTGTTGAATCCATCAGGTTTACCTTTTTTGGCAAATGTCAAAAAACAAGTTTTCGGTGAAGATGTGAACAAACCTTTCCGCAAGAGAATGTATGCTGTTGTATTGTACGGTCAACGTAGTGGGTAGTGTTGACTCTTATATAAACCTTGGAAGGTGAGATATTCATCACATTATGAAACCTTATTTGTCAAAGAATTTGAGACAACCCCAACTGTTTACATCTTCTAGCTTGGTATGGTTCTACCTGATATATGAGAGTGAGACATTGTGGCACTAACAGAGGACATCCATTGTCATTGATCATATGTACATAGAGCAGCCTAAGATTTATTTAAGAGTTAAAATTTTCCTCGCCTTCCAGGGCGCTTTGTGATGTGGGAAGTTGACTTAATAAGGCCTTTAAAGGCATTATATGTATAAGATTCATGTTTGGTGTAAAGAGGCACACATAATGAGTCACACTGATTTTGCTGTGGTTGGCTTTGAATGTTAGTTTTGGTGATTCTGCACCTTTGTGCTACCTACATATTTTCATTTCTTTCTCTATCTATTCCTCTATCATTCAGTATTGATTGTGTTCTCTATTATTTTGCCTTTGTGGCTCCTTTGTTTACCTTTGTTTACAAAACTTCGGACAGTACTGCAGAGTCCAATGCTTCCTATTCTCTAGTTACTCACATTGGACTCTAGGTACTATATACCTGTTATACCCTCTAATAATAAAGTTATTTATATTGGACTCTAGTTCCAGTCCCTGATAGCTCTCAGCAAATGGTTAGACACTTCCTTTAAGCTTTGTTCTTAACATTGAACTTATTGTTTTGTACTACATTACTACTATATTACTTGCTACTTTGTATGTTAGAAAAATGGACGGTGATGCGGCAATATGAACATTTGCATTGTAACTTTCAAAGTGTTAAAAAAACATATCTACTATTTTTTGTCCATTTTTACTCTCAGGCTTGCCTTGTAATTGCTAGTCTCCTTTTTAATATCAGTTTTACTTACTGGCATAGACTTCTAAAAGTTTATCACTGATATTGCTCAACAAGGCTACAGGAGGAGGAAGCCAGGTATCAAGAAAAAAAAAAAAATGACAATGAAAACTGTGTTTATGTACGGCATCTTAACTGCTTACCTTTGATATTTTGTTGGGGGCTAGTTTGTAAGTCACTCTGTTTCTACTGGCAGGTGACTCCATTCTTCATACATATTGTGTATCCCATCTCTTTTGACATTTGGCTGTCTGTGGAGACTGGTATATATACTAATATTAACAGTGTAATTCTGTAAACTATAGTCCAATGTGAGTAACTTGGTTATTAGAAATGAAAATAAGTAGAAAGAACTAAGGTGCAAAATCACCAAAACTCAGAATTTGTACAGGTTGGGGTTGGTCAAAAGACGTAACCCCAGTTGCTTCTGAGATATTGATATATTATTTAGAGCACTTGTATACTGTAATGATACCCACTCAATCTTTGTTGGATGTGTTGTAAAATACCTTTAACCCACCATTGATGTATTGTGGAATGTGAAACACCAACAAACACACCTTATTATTTGTTATAGTTATAGTTAGTTAGATGATGTAATGCCACTTGTAATGATTGTAACAAGTCAGTGTAACAGTGGTGGCTATCTGTTACAAGTGTGGCACACAAATAGAACCAAAGTATCCTTTGTTATATAAACTATTTGTCCCTGCTCATCTTTTACCCCTACTATCACTTATCTAACTATTGTCACCCTCCTTATAACACACACAACTAGAGATGAAACATAATCAAGTACAGCAGCAATGGGTGAGTTTTGTTCTATAATTTTCTTTTATTTGAAAGTAAATATGTTTTGTAAATCTATAAGCCCCAAAACACTTTGGGAGCTTATGGATGCTAAAACAATCAAAGGCAAAGTTAACAAAACCTCGACGAAGACACTTGCTGTCATGCACCAAAGTTGATTAGTAGCATGGACAGTTGTCAATAATGAAGCAAATATTCAAAAAGACTTGCCATTGCACCACACAGGCACAGTACCACGTGGAATAGTAATTAATATTGCCTTTTTTGAACTTGTGGCTGATCAGCACCACCTGTATTAGGCAATCCAGTTGCGCTCACCTTTGCTTTTCCATTCAGTACTTTCCATTTTGGCA